TGTGCATGTGCATGTGTGTGCATGTACATGTGTGTGCATGTGCGTGCGCATGCATGCTCCCTAACAGACAAATCCTACCATTCCTTCAAATGAATTTTAACTGAATTTACCAGAGACATTACCACAACTGACAAAGAGAGTTTGTCCCAAAATGTGTTTCTGAGTCAATTATTTGCCTTTTTTCCCCGGTAGAGAACAATATGGTGAGCAGGTTCCTATAACAATTCACCTTTAACTGTTAATCAAACTGCAATGAGAAGAACTAACCCTCATGCTTACCTGTACCTTTGCAATGAAGCAAAGGGCCCATTGAATGGGCCCAGTGCGGTGAGCGTGTTGAGCTGCTGCTAGGCTCCTAGTCTGTACAGAAGCTCAGCTTGCGCTCAGTTCCCTTTTCCCTCAAAGAAGACAGGGATTTACAGCCAGAAGAGAAAACTTTTTATCCACTGTAAACTCCAGATTAAGCTGAGTTCACACCAGATATTTGTGGTGATGTGAACTGCATCCATATTTTCAAATGATAGCAAGGTGTTCTAGGCCATTTGAGTTTGAGATGGAATCCACAACCAGGAGGTGATAGACCAGGGCATGCGAAGAGATGGCACTTGCTTTAAACTGTGAAGCGTTTGCCAGATGTAGCTTCACCTAAGTTGGACTTGGTGCTCCTAGGGAGGAGGTGGCTGTCATCAGCCATGTCCCCTATTCTGCATAAGGGAATATTGACCTTATCCCGGGTCCCTGGTAGGCCACCCAGGGGCCTCTCCACTTATAATGCCCTCTAAACCTGGTTCTCTTCCTCTGTGCTATTGACAGCTGGATAACAGAATCTCCCATTCATCTGCTAGTCAAGAGAGAAGTGTTGACTTTTCTGTCTTCCCAAGACCCAACTTATGCTGTAGTAACTATATTAGATAGTTTGGGGTAAATTTCTAAAATTAGACTTTACCTAATTTAGAAAACAATGAGAAAACATACCTTTCCCAATTCCATTACAAAGATACTGGGATGATTCAAATAACTAAACAAAGTCAAAGTCATAAGAGAAAGACACAGAGAGACCTGCAGAAGACCCTGGGGAACTTGGACAAGGACTTCCTGTTCATACCCATGTGTCTGCTTCGTGCTCTTTAACTACATTTAGCAGAGCATATGGTAACTTTCTCCAAAAGGGAATGGCCTGCTTTTTCCGGTCATAATTTGAAGAATCCCAGAGAAGGAAGGACTCTGAGTAACCCAGTTCATAGTTCATGCTTGTGCTGAGTCAGCTCAGCGTCAAATGGATTCCAAAAGAAATGATGGCAACAAATCTCACGGTGGAAGAGCATGTGACCAGCAAGTTCTCTTACAGTGAACTTGTAACTGATAATTGGAAATACTTGCTTAAAGTTTGGACTTTAACCACAGTACAATCTTAACTCCAAGAAAAATAATTAGATATAATATATAATGTCAATATGTATTATATATTACATATATATAATATAATAACATAGTGTTAGATATAATATATAATGTTGAATGTTTATTTCTTCTGGGTAAACTTATTTCACCAGTCTTCTTCCCACTTCCCACTCTTTCATCTTCTTTCTTTGTTCTTTCTCTTTTTATGTGCTAGGGACTCAACGCAAGACTTTTCACATACTAGACAAGAATTCTACCACTGAACTCACAACCCCTGTTCTCATTCTCTTTCTCTCTCTCTCTCTCTCTCTCTCTCTCTCTCTCTCTCTCTCTCTCT